ATGAAAGGAATTTTCAAACACCATAGGGGTACGAAGGATTTGAAGTTGGGATATGTTCTAAAGGTTTAATTGAATTCTAAAACTTGGTCATTAGATAAGTTGAGAAGCCTATTTTACGAATCAATATCAAATACAACATTAAAAATTATTGACGGATTCAAGATTTTGTCTGTGTACATGAAAAAAAATATAATGTAAATAAGTTCACAAATCCTTTGGCAATCTGCTCCACTATTAAGAAATACAGGGAAGAAAACTCAACATCTCTTTACTTAAATCTTTTTTATTTGTAAAGCGTATAATTCATTTCATTCTAAGTTGGTTTCAAATCAACGTTAGGAAGAGTACGTGACAAAACATTGCTCAGTAGAGGCCATCATCCCCACCAACAAAAAGTTGCTCAGTAGGTCCCTTCAGCGGAGCCGTCATTGTTAATAGAGATTATAAAGAACTAACTTAAAAGATGTTTTAAGTCAAAATTCATCGATTACTTTTGATTTAGTAATGTTTTTTTTTCTTTTTGTGCTAGAGAAGTCTAAAGTTCGAACATCGTTTGTCATTGATTAAAAACACACCAATTGATTGTTAAACTTAGTTTAAGGCTACATATCATGCATGAAGAATATTGCCCATGGAAGAAGGTGGCAATATTCCTTGATATACTAAGATGAAGTCTTAAACACGTATTGCAATTTGCAAATAATTAAAGGATGCCATGCCTAACATACCGGAAATGTGTTTTGTTTATTTATTTCACGGAAAGATAGAGACTCAAAGAGTCCTCAGACATTAGTCCCACCTCGTCATTGTGTTTAGAAAATGATTAAGCATATTTTGCAAGACAGGGATTCAATGAGGGAGTATCATAATTTGAAGGGTATTTTAAAGTTTTTTAAAATTGACCGACAAGACGGGAAGTGCTCCAACTTTTTTAATTTAGGAAATTTTAACGAAAAATTACCGGTACTGTTCACTTTAATAAAAAATCACATTTTAACATTAAAAAGTCAATCCTGAAACTATTTAATTTACCCTTTATTTTTTCTTTATCGTTAAAACTCAAAGTTTTCAAATCATTTTCATTAATTTTCCTTTTAATTCAAGCACAATCAAGAGGGTTATTTCTTTTATTTAACCCAACATTTATGTTGTTTCGATTTAACCCAAAATGATGAGTTGTGGCCCGGTGCTGTGCCGCCGGACCAGGCTTGGCCTGAAGCCGAGCCGCGCCGCACCACTTCTTTGAGCCGAGCCTGCAGCTCTGACCGCTGTTCCAAAAGGACACCGTTTGGTCTTTCGAACTGCATCCCCATGTTTGGGCTTGTTGTGTGAGCTGAGCCCAAACCCAACCTCTTGGGCTTCTCCCAGCAGCCTGCAACTACCATGCTGGCCTCCTGCCTCTCGGACCGCCCTGTCTTATGGGCCACCTTCCTTTTCTTCAGCCCAATGCTGCTGGCCTGTTCCTTTCCTCGGCCCAATCCACTTTTGGCATGTTTTGCTTCCACACCGCACCCAACCATGTTGAGTGCCCACGACTAAGCCCATTTTTGAGCTCTATTTTCACTTGTTTGGCCCGCAGCCATCCAAAATCAATATGACCTGAATGTCTATATTTTCTTGCTTCTACGCCAGACTTCTGTTATGTCTCAATCCATTGACAAAAAACAAATTCCTGGCTAGCATCTCGGGTGTGTAAATTAACCATTAAATTTTTTATTATTTATATTTGAAGCGTTGACACCTTTTGTTGTTCCGAAGCTACTCACACTAGGTTTTCGAAGCAACTCCAAATTCACTATACTAGGATTGTATATTGTATTATGTGTTCTTGTAGGTATCCTTTTATGAATTGAAGCTCATCTAAAATCGAATTTAGTGTCTTTGAAACCTGAAGTTTTCACACAAAACATACACCCATGAAATCTGAAGTTTTTCATGAAAATTAAACCAAAACATATCTGTAGAACCTGAATGTTCTGCTTTATGTCTATGGATCTTTACTTTTTCATAAGACTAACTACTTGTTTCCACCATTGCAATGACGTGTCGAACTTGAACAAATTCAACTTTACCCCTCTATAAGTGTCTGGCAAAAACTACCTGATGTGAGTTCAAGAAGTGAAGCTCCATCTAACCGCCAAAAGTCTCAGAACGACTTTTGAATGTCAATGTAGAATAGATTAGTCAAATTGGAAACAAGCAATCTAGGTTGAACTTGATTGATCACTTGCAAAACGCAAGGTGTTTAGGCAGTAGCTCTCTAAGCAATTGGGAAGAATATATGTATAAATTGTGTGTGGATGGTATGGTTGTCTAGGGGTGGGAACGGGCTGGGCCGGGCCCAAATTTGGAGGGACCGGACCTAACCCGGCCCGTTAGTAACTGGCCGGTTCGAGGTGGGTCCACGGGTCCTTTTTTTATTTTTTTATTTGAAGAACAATTTAACAATTACAGAACTTTGAGCCTTGTAAACAATCTCTAAATTACAAAACTTGCTAATAGTTTCCACTGTCAATAAAATACTCAACATTCCTTTCAAGTTTGTGGATTCAACTCAAAGATTGCACATGCTTCTGAAATGCCCAATAGGTTCAACACAAAGCTTGTAGATTCAAGCAAGTCTGCAAATTTAGACAAAACATAAATAATAAATTCCCATTTCAAATTTCAAACAATATGAAATGCCCAATAGAGTGAACATTTGAATCCTAATCCCTAAATCCCAAATTCCCAATTCCTATGAAGGCAAATTTATGAACTGGGTTTGGGGTATTACGAACTGCTCAATAGAGTGAGAGATTGCAGAAAACCCTAACTCCTAAATCTAGAGAATTAATCAGAGAGAATCAGAGATTGAGGGAACCCAAAATCCCTAAATCCAGAAAATTAACAAGAGTTAAAAATTAAGAGTTCAGAAATTATATTACCTTAAATTGGGAGCAGATGAGAAGATGGTTGTTAATTTCAATTCGCAATATGGTGGTGTTCTTGATGGCGGTGATGGGGTGGTCGCAATATGGAGAGATGACGGTGATGATGGTTGTTGATGGTGGCCACCACTCATGATTTGCCAGAAAGAGGGAGACAAAGACGAAGTCGAAGGCTGTGGTCAGAGATGGTAATTGTTGATGGATGATTGCAGTTGAGGACTCGATTGGGCTCGAGTCGTGAATGAATGGGAGAACGGGTCTGAGATGAATGAAAACTTCCAATAATAAAATCCCATCCAATTACCTCAAGTTAGAAACGGGCCGGGCCTGGCCGGGGGCCCGTTCCCTCATATTTTTAGATCCGCCCTGTCCCGTTAATTTTGTATACCCGCCCCATCCCGCCTCGTTTTGTGTTTTGAAATTTTGGACCCGCCCCGACCCGCGGGTACATGACTCGTTCGCCTACCCCTATGGTTGTCTCCCTTGTGGGAGAATTAACCCTAATTTTCTCCTGTTGCTGCTTGTCTTCTCTTTTCTTGAGTGCACGTACGCAAGGCTCCTTAATCGTAGACTCTTTCTTGCTCACTAAGCCAATCTTTCAATCCGTAATGGTGCTGCTGCAGTTGTGACCTCTATCTAGAGACTTCAGAAAAGGTTGTAAGGACTCCATATAATTATTGCTTGTGGAATTTTCTTAATTTACCTTTATTTTATGTTCTTGACATAAGTATTATTTAATGCTTATTTGTATATTATATAGTCAATGTTATTAAACTAAAAAATCCGTCTAGGCCTCCGCCTAAGCCTCTAAGCGCTTGGCCCACGATTAGGCCTCTTTCCGCAACTTGACTACCACTAATGATTTTTAGAACATTGATTAGCACAAAGTATAATGTGTTTAACTGCCTAACCTAATCACCACCATGACCCTAGTATACCAAATGAAGTAGATCTAGCTAATCAAACAATCCTACCTTTTCACATATAGGAAAGAGATCTAGCACATCGAGGAAGAAAACTAAAATAAAGAACTCTCCTAAGGAGAGAATCCAAAACCAACAAACACCTAGTGAGCTTCTTGTAATTCTAAAACAAAATCAAAATAAAAAGGACAAAATAGTGATGCAGCTTTACATCTTTCTAGCTAGATTCTTGAAGAGCGCCATGTCTCGCAGTTCCAAACATATAAAAAACCATGACAATTGGAGCTTGTGTTAATTGTGTGAATGAATAAGAGAGAAGCATAAGGATTTTCGCCACCCTCAAGGCTAAATGCAGGGTCAATCGCATAAGAATTTTCTTTGTTTCTTTTTTAGACTGCTAGATTTATTTTTTTTTTTTTTTGTGATTAAAACTTGGTAAATATCCAAACAACTAAGGAATACAAAACCAAAATAAAAAGGATTGGGAATTGCCTGTCGATATTTGGATAACAAGGGTATTGACACCCTAACACAATAGTAAAAGTGCAAAACCCTTTAGCGCGTGGAGAATTTAATTGGGTCACATAATAGAGTTTCCTTTTTTGGTAACTAATTAGATTTATTATATAACAAGGTGTGCTGAGAGGGAAAACCATGCTCATCACTGAAACTTCAAAAAGAAAACAACCATTTAGCCAAAACCTCGAAAGCCCTTGAAACCGTAATCAGCCCTGTCAAAAGCAAACGCTCCAAGAGTTACTAGCACTTGTATCATCAAGGACTTACCATCTTACAGAGCCTTCGAAGAGCTAAAGCTTTTCCATTCAATCGATCGCACAATATACGTTCGACTGCTGGGTTTACGTTTTGATCCTAACCAATCTAAGCTTGTCATAACCTTTTGGTATTTTCTGGACACAGAAACTCACTACAAGTTTATGGCGGCCACGTTAGCTTTACATGACTCGGACCTGTATGCTTTAGCATGCGAGTCGATTATGTGCTTACACTATCTGCACTCAAATTACACTGATCCTCTGGCGTCGGAGGAAATTGATAGTCAGTTTCGAACACTGTGTCTTCTTCTTCTTACCAAAATATTCCACTCGAGTTTGTGTTTGACAACAAGGAGAAGTCCCGGGAAGAGATGAGGAGATTTATCGACAATGTCTTCGACAGAGCTTTTTGGGATATAATTATAGTCCCATCATATCCATATTTGGGTCATATACCCAGTGGTTTCCAGCATTCCAATTTGTTTAACGGTCCAATGACTTCAATATTACAACATGGGTTTCAGCATAATTATTTACTTAATCAGCAGGATCATAACATTTTTGAGGCTCAACCTCCTCTATTACCACCCCAAGCAGCATATGATGATGTGCCTGATCAGTATCAACCTAATATTGACAATAATGATAGAACTTTATTCTTGACATTCTCAAAGGGTCATCCTGTTTCAAAAGAAGAACTCAAAAGCTATTTAAACACGTATTTCTCTCTAGTTTCTTTTTTTCATTGATTACAACTTATATCGAATGATTACACGTCTAATTGCACCAAGGTCCTTTGCGATAAAACCCTACACTTGCTGGGCTGTGACCTGATTTAAACAGTTAAGTTGAGACAATATCGTGTGATTAGTAGTGGACTGTTGCCCGATTTTGAAATTTAAATAGTTTGTGCCATTTTAACCAACCATAAATTGTCGAATCGCTAATTTAGAGATGGCACAACATATAATTAGTTGAGGTGGTACGATATATGATCAGTTTTATGTGTCTATATATATATATATAGCTTTACTATATATTGACTTATTATTATCAGCTTCAACAATATCTGGATTAACTGTTTTAACTCATCATGTATATGCAGGAAATTTGGAGATTGCATAGAGTCAGTCTTTATGAAGAAGCCTGTTCATCCAAATGACCAATCACTGTTTGCTCAAGTTGTTGTTAAGTCTGCGTCAGACGCTACAAGAATTCTTGATAAACCGGACCATGAGGGCAAAGTCAAATTCTCAGTTAATGGGAAAGATTTTAAAGCCAGGCGATATAAGCCATGTCAGAATAAGCAGGGACGGAACCAGTCACGAGACTCGAACAGCTCTAGCAGCCAACCACAACAAAACAACCCGGAACGGCTATAGACAAGATAAAGCAGTTGCACACAAGATTTGCCCAGTACAGAGAGCAACTTTATGAGAGAAAAAAATTACTTTTTTGTTTTAGTCTGAAGAAAAATAGATAACAAGTCATCAAGTATCCATGGTCAAAATTAACTTGTTGTATAGAGTAGATGAAGTTTTTGGTTAGACAAATAAAGGCAGGTTGGTTGTATATGTCTTATTATTTTTTTCTTTTTGGTAAATAGTGTATACTAGCAGATTTATATGTTGTGTGACTTTTTTTAATACAACGATTTAGTTTAATACCATATAAGACACTCTTTGTTTTTTTTTTCTCTCCAAATGATAGAAGATTTCATTTGGATTCAAATTGTTTACATCAGCTTCAAACGGCTACCCACATGTGAAACAAAATACGCACTAGATGTACTGCCCTATCACATTCTGAGAAAGCAAAAATAAAATCTTTTGATCTCTGTTGTTTTAAAAATATCTAGTCTAAATGCATATGAGATACTCTTTGGTTCAAATTATGTTTATTGCATTCTGAATATTGGTAAAAGCTGGGACATATGAGACAACTTATACAATAACAATAACAACAAAGTCTTATTCCACTAATTAAGTGGGGTTAACGCCACTATTCTCAGTTTGTGCCAAGACTTATGACCCAGATAATTTCTTTAATCACCAACCAACACTAATCACTTATCACTAGCTATCTGGGTCAGGACTACCATCTGCACCCTTTACATTTTGATACCTGTACAACTTAGCACACAACAAATAATAGCCGAAGTTTATCACCCCCAGCACAGCTAGCATCCAATAAACATTGTCCAGCTTCCCATTGTTTAGATTGTTTGGTAACCATCCAGTAACCCTTTGGACCATATTAACCACACCTGTGCTTACATAATATGCAATCCCAATAATCAATGAGATCAAGGCCGTCGATGTGCTTCGCAGTGACATGGGAAATTCTTGATAAAACAATGCAGCCTGTCCTGGAAAATGAAATGCTTCTCCAATGCCTACCAAAACTAACTGTGGGAAAAGCCAAAAGATCGACATTGGAACATTAGTACCAGGCTGGTCTTGGAGGTGGTGTTCTTGCACTATTTTGAGCCTTTTGGACTCCATCACTGCTGAAACAGCCATGCTGAGAATGGTTAACACGTGTCCTACTCCTACACGCTGGAGGGGTGACGGAGACTGACCAGTGAACTTCTGCCACATGGGGCATAAGAACCTGTCAATTAGGGTTAGAAAGATGGATGTGGAGAATAAAACAATGACTATAACAGAACTAGAAGGCAATTTAAAATGGGGGCCAATGTGACGGTCCATGGTTAGAGCTTGCAGGACTGACATGCTAGATTGGATTGCTATTGGGGTAGCTAAGAATAAAGCTGTAGACCATAGTGGAAAAATTCTTATAACGGTCTTGAAATCTTCCACCTGTTGCGTTGTGCATAAGCTCCATGGTTTCGCAATCGAGCCATCTGATTTCACGTCTCCTTTAATTTTCTGTGCTGCACGGTTAAGGAATCTGCATGCAAATATTAAGTCTTTTAATGTCGTTTTTAAATAGAACTCAACTTTACTTTTTTATTTTATTTTTTGTACTATAGCGATGGTGAGGGAGAGGGAATGGTACTAAGAACATCAAGTTCATTGGTAAATGGTTTTAGCCGACTCAGCTAGTCGCTTCGAGAATTCAATTTTACTTTAGTAAGGAAGCAAATAGCAGAAAAAAATAATTACCAAATTGAACCAAAAATAGGTTGAAAAGAATGTCAGCGAACATTCTAACCTCTAAACGAACTAGAAGTGGGTAGAGAGACTCATTGTCACATATACTAAGTTAGGCTTCATCTCTATAGCGTGACATAATAATCTGACCACACCCTTCACATGTAAGTCCCTAACATGTGTCCGTTTGGTTTGACACATGGATAACTTGACTCTATGATCGAGATTGAATTTGAGCATTTAATTTGAAATCAATAGATATTGGTGGTAGAAACCATCACATTATTTTCAACGTGTATTTCAATGAAATCTCTACTATCATACCATATTGACAAAGGCAGAGCTTTTTTTTTTTTTTTTTTTTTTTTTTTTTTCTTTTTGAGGAACGAATTAGGATGGTTGAGGTATGTGGTGTTGTGTCTCAGTCCGTGAGGACACATGGTTCGGTTGTCATAACCCAAAATTTCTCCTTGCACAGAGGTATATGCTCATAACTAATTGTTTGACAAGAAAACACTACCTAACGTATATAATTTGGTTTTAAAGTCCAGCATATTAATTTCTCTCTCTATCTACCTTGCGTATATAATTAACCCATACTGTTTGTACCTGAAACTCTTGCTAGGTGTTGCTGCAGCCACATTGTTTGTCACTCCATCAAGTCCATAATAATAATCCTTTCTTTCAGTTGATAGCTGCAGACTAGTTTTCCGAACAGAGGCAACAATAACACGACCTAAACCAACAAATGGACTCCCTTGGGGCTTATCAAATTTATAGAAACGGCTTCCAGAGAAGAAAATGGCCATTCCGATTAGATTGGCTATGACACAAAGGCCAAACCCCCATTTAAAACCGACGTTGTCTTCAACGTAGACAATGACTGTTAGGGCTACCACTATACTAGAGTACAGAGTGAAGAAGAACCAGTTGAAGAAACTTGCTTGATGCTTAGGCTTGTCAAATTGATTAGCTCCCAGTGTTGCCAATGTATAGCGGGTACCTCCCAAGCCAAGAGATGCGACAGCTATGCCGGTGTAGAAGACTGCATACTGTAATGCCGAGGTCGGTTGGCATAACTTTGAGCCGGTAGCACAAGGTTGAGGCTTTAACGAATTCAGCGTTGCGGTTAAAACTAAGAGAACGATGCCCTGCAACGAATTTATCAATTATTTAGAATGCTACCCTAGTTCATATATTTATGGAGATTATCTAGTACACATTCGTATATCTTATATCAGCTTGCATGTTATATTGTTCGATTGCCAATCTAATATTGAAATGACAGTTCAGATGATCAGTGGATGAACAATCTACATGATCTCAGATCAAATTGACAAGAAATTGTATTATCCATAACCACAGAAATCATGTGGTGAAAGCATGTTGTAAAGAAATTGAAATTTTTGTTACCAGCAAGGAAATGCATGAGGATATTGAGATAACGTAGAATGAGCCAAGGAAAGAGTCAGCTATGATTGCTCCAATGATTGGGAAAAAACAGACAGAACCGTAAACTACGTTTGAGATCTGGGCAGCATCAATGCTATTTACATTGAACTCTTCAATCAGAAACACAATCAAATTTGAGATCCATCCCCCAGCTGCAAGTGTCAAGCCTCCCAAAGCCCCTGCTCAATAAACCGACTATTTGAGACTGCTTTATGTAGGGAGCAATTACTAAGAAGTGTTTTTCCTAGAAACAGTATATTAGAAAAAGTTAAAATTTTGATTAAAATTCAAGTGTCACTTTTGAGTGGTTATCTGAACAGGTACTTCTCTTATTGGACGACAATATCGTCCCCTTGATATTAGGAGTAGATTTGATCCGTATGAATCAATGTAAATCATCTTTGTTTCCTTCCTAGAATAGACTTCCTTGTATTATATAAGTCTTGTATTATATAAGTCTTGTACTCAATTGTAAGTGAATAAGTATTATTCAAAGTTGATTCCCAGACTTCATATTTCTAAACCCTAGCCGAGTTACCTTTCAACATGGTATCAGAGCACCGTTTCTGGTGACTCTGAATACCCACACAGCTTCCGCAAATCCTAACAGACACAACATCACCTAAACCACCATGGGCGATCCAATACCTAAGGCGTCCATTGACACCCAAAAACCTATGGAGACATTCACAGATGTCTCGAATCCTTTTATTATACATCCCTCGGATCAACCTGGGAATATCTTGGTCTCCAAAACACTTCAAGGAGACAACTACAATACCTGGAGTCGTGCTATGCGAATTAGCTTGAGCGCGAAAAATAAACTTGGCATGGTTGATGGCACCATTAACCCTCCATCAGAGACTGACAAACAATTTGCATCATGGCAAAGATGCAATGATATGGTCCTTGCCTGGATTCTCAACTCAGTCCACGACGACATTGCGAGCAGCGTTTCTTATTACACAACAGCAGCCGATGTTTGGGCTGACCTGCGAGATCGTTTCTCACAAGGAAACGACTCACGTATTTATCAAATCAGGAGAGAGATCGTTGAACACAGACAGGAACAACAATCGATCCAGGTTTACTACACGAAACTGAAAGCGTTGTGGGATGAACTGGCATCCTACAATGAAACTCCGACTTGCACCTGTGGGGGATTGAAGAAGATGAATGATCGAGATGAGAAAGAAAGGGTGATGCAGTTCCTGATGGGTTTGAACGACTCTTATGCAGCAGTACGTGGACAGATACTATTGATGCAGCCACTACCAGACACTCGGAGGGCATATTCCCTTGTTCTCCAACAAGAGAAGCAAGTAGAGGTATCTCTAAATCGTAACAATATAAATATGCATGCTATGAATATAACCCGTAACAGGGAGACTGCTGCATCAAAAGGAAACACCATTCAATGCTCATATTGTGATCAAAAATACCATACCGTGGATCGATGCTTTTACCTGTATGGTTTCCCGCCTGGCCATAAGTATCATGGCAAATCAGTCAAGCCACCAAATAAAAGAAAACCTGCGGCAAACCAAGTCACGGTGGAGACCGAGACCACCAAGGGTGTAGACTCACGACACAAGGCGACGTCCAGTGACGGTCCAAAGTTCACCACAGAAGAATATAATCAACTTATGGCAATGCTCAAGAAGAGCAACATTGATGGTAATCCGCAGCATTTTGCAAATGCAACAGGTACAATCACACCTTCTTCTGACTTGTCAGAGAAAACTTTATATTGGATCATTGATAGTGGGGCAACAGACCATGTATCTCCTTCTCCTCATTTGCTTGACAAGAAG